TGGTAAAGCCAGGGTCCTCTTAGAGCTGATGAAGGGGAAGAGATAGCTCATTTGGTCAGTGTCAGACAACAGCTTCCAAATGGATGGAAGGTGCCTTACAAATGCTTGTTTCTTTCCATGAATGGCACAGGCAGTCTTGGGGATTAACTCTTGTTTTGGCATTTACATACGGTGAGATGAATTCCATCTTTACACAGCTGGAATCTCATCGTCTTCCTGATGCATCTGAAGCTTATGGGTTTTGTAAATGGGATTCTCTCTGCTGCCCAGCTGCTGGTCCCCTGTATCACACTGTCCTCCCCTGGTTCCCTCTTTTGTACCTCACATAACCTTTTTCAGACCTTTGCTGAGCAGGCACTCTGTTTGCTGCTTAATCCCCAGGATTATGTGATGGCTAAAGTGGTGAACCCACGGAGGGCAGCTTACACTAATGCGCTGGGCTGTGAGCGGCAGCAGGAACAGTGAGAGCCCCTGCAGCCAAATCCAGCCCTGTCCATCTGTCAGAGCTGCCCTCTGTGGTCTCGCCAGGTTATCGTTGGGTTTTTAAAGGCTGCCTGTTGTCCTGGGCTGGGAGCTGCCGCATCCTTGTCTCAGCAAATGCAAATAGAGAGGCATAGAGAAGGCATTCGTGTGGCAGCCATTCGGATGGGAGTGAGAGCATCACAGTACCTACTGAAACTCACAGTCAAGTACTGGCTCCTCTCATCGCTTCACCTGTCAAGCTCATGAGTGCCTGTCTCCTGAGTTTGCTCTGATCTCTTTTGCTGCTTATCTTGTCTGTTACACTTTCTGTTTAGTGTTTTATTTCCTCTTTGCGTGATCTGTTTGCCCTCTGTCTCTTTCTGGACGTGCTCCCTCCCACTTTGCCCTGATGTTCTGCTTCCTGAGGCATCAAGGCAGCTGAGATGAAGAGAGAAAGGAGTGTTGAGGTGCTTGTTTTGCACGAACCCCACTACTCACATCGAGGGGTGCGAGAGCAGAATCAAGTTTATTACAAAGGGCATCAGTTTAAATACAGTGTTTAAATCGTGTCACATGATCTTTCAACCAATGACATTATAGTATTGCATTGAGCATGCGTGAGAGCGCAGAAAACTACAAGTCCCAAAATCCTTTGCTATATTCTTCCTGAAACATGAGCCGTTACAGAGTGTGGTGGTCGTGTTGATTTTGTTTGTTTGTTTGTTTGTTTTGTTTATTTGATGTCTGTGGCTGAAAGGAAAAGAAAGGGATGTTGGAGCATCTCTTCCCAGGTGGGTGCAGGCAGTCCTGAGCTCACATGGAGGAGATTCTCAAGCTGTGCCTGCATTCATGCGGGCAGATACCCCGAGCTGTGCAGCAGCCCCTTTGGGCACAGAGACCACCTATAGGAACCAGAGCTCTCTGAATAAAACCTTTGTCCTGAGAGAGCACATGAGATGCAGAAAAAATTTAGGTCATGCTTAATCTGTATCAAAGATTAACTTGTTGAATGGCTCTTCATAAGCTTGTCACGGATGTCAGGAGCATGTAACAAAAGTCAGATGAAAGTAGGTATTATGGATAGATATATAAACAATTTATATGTTAGCTTATGTATTTACTAACACGTATAAACATTTATGTGATGATTACAAACCCTTTATGTGAAGACCTTGAATAGAACTTTCACGCAAACCTTCCTGCAGTAAACAGTGGCCTCCTGCTTACAGAAAAATGTGTTTTCTGTGATTTCCTGCATTAACAATGTTGTACTGTCTCATTCTAAAAAGACCTCAGATGGAGAATTCCCTCTATTCCTTGGCTGGTAATGGATTTTGCAGGTCCTTGGAGGGAAAACTCTGAAACTTGGGATATTTTTTTCCCTTGTGCTGGGAAGACCAGTGATGAGGACAAAGACTGCCCATCTGATCCCATCTGTTGCTCAGAGATGCATCCTCTTGCAAAACTGGGCTTCCTTTCTACTGTAGCTCACTCTAGAGTTAGACCCAAGACAACTGAGGGCCATTCATTAGCAAGCTCTGTGTTTGCAGAGATGCTCAGGCTTGCCTGGGGCTGTAGGACAGCATCTTCCAAGGAGTATTGCAGGTGAAACCTGGGCTGTTTGGGAAACATTGTTCTGGGCAGCCTAATGTGTGGAGGGAGCGGCAGTTTGCTGACTGTGTTGAGGGTCTAAAATGTAAGATGCAGCAAAGTTATTACCAAGCTGCTCCTTGCAGCAACTTTTTTCAGCATGAAAAAATGAAGCAGATGATTACATCTGTGAAGGAACAGAATGGTGATGCACAGCCTTCCCTAGGGTGGGAGTTAGAAAACCAATCAAGCACATGTCTCCTGTCTTGCAAAATAAACATGCTTCCCTCACAGATTGAAGGAACAATCTGGGCCTGGCTGTGCTCTGCTACAACTTCTTGACAACTCTTGAATGCCCTGTTACAGGGCAAAACCTCTTGTGTTTAGTTCATTCTGCTGAAAAAGCTGTTTGCAATCAGCAAAAGGGGCTAGAAATAACTCTCCACCACCCCTGTTTTATTCACCTGCTACAAAGCAGCCAGAGACTAAACCCAGCTGGAGCTGTCCCTCAGCCTGAGCCTAAAATCCCAAGGTATTTTTCTTACCAGCTAGATTTCCTCTAGGCTTGCAGTGCTGTTGCAATGCGGTGAGCAGCTGGTACCTGTCTCTGCTAGGCCCCACATGAGGTATCCCCCTCTTGGTTCCCTTGCCAGTTCTCACTGTGGGATGTCCCCCAGGAATTTTCCTCTGCCTGTCAAACTTTTTCCTTCTTATGTTCAGTAACCAGGTGTTTGCTGGGCCAGGGGAGAGCCTCTGATTGTGCACGCATACCTAAGGGCAAGGGTGGCCAGCTTGCTGCTTGTGAGTGATTTGTGTGGGGAGAGTAGGAGCTTCTGATGCTGAAGCTGCAGAATCCTTGAAAGGCAGCCTGGCTTTGCTCAGCTGCTTCCAGCAAGTGAGTGCTGTGGCCTTCAGGAGCCAGTGCCTCCATTCATCCCCGCTCTTTGGCTTCCTAAGTCATGCAACATGAATTTTGGGGCTGGCTACCTAGAAAGTAGTCTTTCAGGGTTAGGGAAGCCTGTTCTCCCTGTGAGTTAAGAGCCTCATGGGGGTCATCCATTCTCACCTGGGAAATGAGTGAGTGAGCCCAGCCCTCAAGGACCCTACAGCCTGGGATTAAACAATCAGAATCAAGTGCCAGCTTGACTCCCTTAGGCAGCTGAAGAAATTGGACCAGACTCTCCCATGTTCACAATAAAGCTTCCAGCTAATGCTGTGTAAGAGACTCTTCTTTCCTCACCTCTGGCTGGGAAATGTGGGGAGTATTTAAGGAATGTGTCTTTTTGTCCAGTCCCTGTCTTATTTGGAGCTTTCCATCTGTGTTCAGTCAGTGCTTCATTATACCACTAGTGGTGTTACCGTTGGAAAGACATGCTCAGGTAGGACATGAAACATACTTTACATTACATGAACTCTTCCTTGTTCTCTTGTCACTGAGTCTCTTTACTTGTCCTCCTCCATCCTCACCCCAGCAGATGACCCCCTTGCAGAGCTGGTCTGATACCACAGTGGGAGAAAAAACAAAAGCCTGTGTCGAGAATAGTATGGCCAGCAGGACTAAGGAAGTGATTGTCCCCCTGTACTTGGCCCTGGTGAGGGCACACCTCGAGTGCTGTGTGCAGTTCTGGGCCCCTCACTTCAAAAAGGACAGTGAAGTGCTGGAGCATGTTCAGAGAAGGGCAACAAAGCTGGTGAATGGTCTAGCAAACATGTCTTATGAGGAGTGGCTGAGGGAACTGGGGCTGTTTAGCCTGGAGAAAAGGAGCTCAGGGAGCTTGTTGCTCCCTTGTTGCTCTCCACAACTACCTGAAAGGAGGCTGTAGTGAGGCGGGGATTGGTCTCTTCTACCTGTCTCAAATGACAGTACAGGAGGAAATGGACTTAAGTTGCACCAGAGAATGTTCAGATTAGATATTAGAAAATTTTTTTTCACTGAACGAGTGGTCAAGCACTGGCATAAGTTGCCCAGGGAGGTGATGGAGTCGCCATCTCTGGAAGTGTTCAAAAGGCATCGGGATGTGGCACTTGTGGATATGGTTTAGGGATGATGATGGTGGTGCTGGGTTGATGGTTGGATAGGATGGTTTTCATGGTCTCCTCCAACCTTGATGATTCTGTGAAAAGCTGAACTAGAGGGCTGTGTCAAATCTGTTGTGATTATTGAAATAAACAGAAGCACTTGGTATTAGGTGGAGTAATGGATGAAATTAAACAAAAATGAATAATTACTGAAAATACTGAGTTGTTCTGGAATGCTTTAGTAATGAGATTAACAGTGAAATGAATTGAAAGGTAAATCAGCCTGGAAGAAAAATATCTCATGATCTTCCTCTATATTTTAGATTTTTTCTTGGGGACTTGCATGGAAGAGAGCTAGAGTGAATGAAATATGCAGAATATAAACAAACACAGGTCATGTTTTATTCAGTTTAGAGTGCAGCAATTTTTAAATTATCCAGACTTGAATTCTGAATCTGAACCTGGGAGCTGCAAGTTCTAAGGATGGAGTCATTTGCTGCTGTATCTTTATTTAATGATATTTAAGCACTTGCAGGCCATGGGCAGTATTTTTTAATTGTCTTGCAGATGTAATTTAATTCAGATTATCTGAGTCATCTTCATCAAGATGAGGTCAAATTCCAAGGTGGGGAAATGTTAATATTTTGGTCATTATGGAAAGATGTAGACAGAAAAAAAATCTAGTTTTGAATGTGTAAGGTATAGCAGTTATTTCAAGTGTGAGTGGTCTGATAAAGCCTTAATAATAAGAAATGCCTTTTTTTTTAAGTGTGCTGGTTTTGGCTGGGATAGAGTTAATTTTCTTCACAGTAGCTGATATGGAGCAATGTGTTGGATTTGTACTGAAAATGACATTGATAATATAGAAATGTTCTTGTAATTGCAGTGCTTACACAACATCAGGGCCTTTTCAGCTGTTCACCCCACCTCACCAGTGAGGAGGCTGGAGATGCACAAAGAGCTGGGATGAGGCACAGCCGGGACAGCTGACCCTGACTGACCAAAGGAATATTCTATACCCATGCTTAGCATATAAAGTGGGTGTAAGAAAGAAGAAGGAGATGTTTGGCGTGAGGGCATTTGTCTTCCAAAGTCACCGTAATGTGTGATGGAGCCCTGCTGTTCTGGAGATGGTTGTACACCTGCCTGTCCACGGGAAGTGGTGAATGAATTCCTTGTTTTGCTTTGCTTGCATGTGTGACTTTTGCTTTACCTATTAAACTATCTTTATCTCAACCCATGAGTTTTCTTACTTTTACCCTTCCAGTTCTCTCCCCTGTCCCACTGGTGGGGGAGTGAGCAAGTAGCTGTGAGGTGTGCAGTTAGTGGCTGGGGTTAAACCACAACAGATGGCTATGTTGAAGTATGGTTTCTAGCAGTGCAATTCCAATTTTAGCAGCTACCTCTTAATGATTTCTTTTCCTTCCAGTAGGTAGATTGTTGGGTATTGTCCCTTTGGGTGCTCACTTCTCTATGTAATGGTCCAGGGCTTGTTAAATTCATTGAGACTTTGTGATGATCTGGGGGGTTACTCAGTTTACACATGATCAAGGACAGCATAGTTTGTGTTCACGCATCACTCTGACCTCTTCACATGGAGGTAGCGTGCCAAAGGAAATGATTGCCTTCTAGCTGAAACTGGTGGCCACGCTCTTGCTAGTCTGTTCAGACAATGAGTTTTTATACGTAATGGTGTGGTGCAGCTAGAATGTCTCTTCATTCCTAGGCTGGCTGTATCCACTTGTGACTGCTGATGGAAAAATGTTTCTACTATCAATCAAAAGTCATGCTTTGACTCATGCCTCTGAGGCTAAAACACTGTATGCTGGCCTTTGTCCTGTAGTCCACCCAGCAGGCAAGGGTAGTATTAATCTTTCAGTCCTCTTGTTTTTGAGACCATACTCTTCTCAGTAGTGAGGTTTCTACCTGTGTTTTTGGTGGTTTCTATTACTCTTTCTTGCTGTCTTTCTTAAAACCCTTGTGCCTGTGTGTACCAGTGAGCAGATGCTTCTTTTGGAGAGTCTGCCTTATGCTTGGCCCCTGTCTGCGTGAAGGGAATTTACTTTTGCAATAACAGCTCTATATGAAGTGGCAGGCCACAGCTATATCCCAAACAGACAGTTATCATTCCATAACTTTAGCTCTGCATGCTCTGGACTGCTTTCAGAGTACACTCCACCAGTGCTGAAAGTGCACCACACAGACCTCTGAGCTGGGATGAGACCATGGCGCTGGGATCCCCCAGAGCCTGGTTGGGTATCGGGACCATGAATTTCTAAAGATGCTGTGACCTTCCTAGCCTTTCCACGGTTGATGATGACTTAAATTAAACATTTTACCAGATCTGAGGAGAGCAGGTGCCTTTCTAGTTGCAGGTATGGTTGGGGGGCATACCAGGTGGTCAGAAATTTGCCTGTAAGCTGTGTAACTGAAGAGATGTGGTTTCTGAAGGAGCAGGAGGCATGAGCAAAGCTTCCTCCCTTTCAGACCCATCAAGCTTTGTGTGCTGAGAGTGAGCTCCTTCCACACAACTTCTCTGGGAGGTTTTTTTCTCCCACAATGTACATCTTTACCACCTCAACACTCTGGGACCTCACATGTTGTATGTGGCTCTGACCTGCAGTGAGTGGTGGATGTGTCTGAGGAGTAGGCTGCAGGATCACACTGCTGATGGTGGATGCTGGGTCCATGCCAGCCATAGCCCTTCATGCAGACAAGGTCTCTGACATGGCTGGCCTGGTGGGTGCACAATTCTCCTCTTCCAGACTTTGTGAACTTTCTTTCAAGAGAAACTCAGAGACTGATTAGGTATGCTGGAATTCAGACAGGTACACTCACAGTTGTCACTGCTGACTGCAGGGAAGGAACTATATCTTTATTAAAGAAAAAGAGGCCAGAAAAAGAGGAAAGAAAGAATGAAAAGAACACATACAGGACTCCACTAGTTTGGGTTAAAACCCAGACAAAGGACTTTTGCTCTTTGTCTGAACAACTTGCTTAAATGACTGAGAAATTGGATGGCTGCACAGAGGAAGAAAAAGTTACGCTAATGCTGTTTGGAAATGTCACTCCTACATTACTTACAAATAAGGCTTGTAAATCTAAGGCTTGTAAATCACATGTCACTTCCTAATTAGAAAATGACGAGTGTAATTGGGTCTTTCACTGCTGTGGCAGAACCTTGTGCAGGCAGACGTGCTCCGGGGGTGCAACCCACCACATCTGCCTCCTGCTTTCCTTTTGGAGCTAGACTCATCCAGGAAAGAGGTTAAGCACGTGGCCAGTTTTCATTACTGACAAGGGGATATTGACTGACTGTTTGTAAAGAAAAAGCCCAGAAACCCCTATTTTCTCTGTGCTAAGCCTTGTTTTGGAATTGTAGTCCAGGCATAAACTACCACTACAGTAGAGTGCTGAAGAAACTGATTGGCTTTCTGGATTTTGGTCTTTGGAGGCAGTGCACCTATATCACTTGCTTTAATGTAGCATTGGGATTCATAGTACCAGTTATAAAGTGTCTTTCTAGATATATCTGTCCTGAGAAATTTTAGAAGGGCATTTTCTGCTTTGGTGCAACTCTCCTCAGTAGAGAAAATACTGTGCTGTGTAGACACCATGGGCAGAAGAGTGCTTACAAATTTTTTGGGCAGAGGTTAGGTATTTTTTATATAGGCTGTGGTAGGCATTTCAAATAAAGTAACAGTGACTGTTTCACAAGCTCTGGTTGTATTTTTTTGTCTCCTTCACTAATTAAAGTAATGAGTGTTGCTTTTGTTATCCTGCTGTGAATAGCAAGCCACTTGGGGGAGGATTAATATTGACAGGAGCTGTTAGATATTTGAGAATTTTTTTTTTTGTCCAGTGAGGAAAAAGGGTTTGTGGACCAAACATAGCACAAGTAGCTGTGGCCTCCCATGGAGACTGCCTGCTGCTCACCCTTGGGAACCTCTGCAGCAAAAAGCTTCATGTGCTGCCATGAAGGCACTTAGTCAAACTGAACTTCCCCTCTGGTGCTATTGGCTTCTTTCTGCTCATGTTTCTTTTTCAGACGGTTTAATTTCTTCCTAATTAATAAGTAAGTGAGTGTGCTAGTGAGGTCATGTTGGTTTGGTCACTGCTGGTGAGAAGCCAGCTAGTGGCTCTCCTTACCAACCTGCAGCCCAACAGGCAAAAGGAATATCTCTTCCAGGTCCCTTGGATGTTCTTCCCAACTGTGTGCCTCTTAGTTCTGGTCAGCAGGGCAAATCTCATCCTCATGTAAGCCTGAGTACGTTTCAGAGCATGATGAGAGCTACTCTGTCTTTAGATACTCCAGAGAGTGGTTCAAAACAGGCATGGGTTTGTTTACCCACAGAAGTCAGAGGCCATCTCTTGTCCCAGGACAGGGTGGACTCTGCCTGAATGACTTCATCTTTACTTACATGCACCAAACAAAGGCTTTACACCTTACTCGCCTGTAACCTGCTCCAGATCTTCACAATCTTTACAGCTAAAAAATCCTTCCTCTTGTCTACCCTAAGTCTCCTTCTGATTTAAACATTTTGGTTATCCTGCCAGAGAGCACAACTAATCTTCTCTGCTTGGTAGCTACTTTTTATGTCTTTAAAGGGAATTATCAAGTTTCTCCTCAGACTTCTGCCCCCTCACCTGCCTCACCACCAGTTAGTCCAACCTTTTCTCTAAGGCTGTATGTTCATGGTCACTGGTGATGCCTGTTGGTCTCCTGGGTGTCTCCTCAGTGGGTACACATCTGAAACACACGTCCAAGGCTACACTTCAGTTTCCTGTTGAGATCTTAGAGCTTTTGATTCCTGGGTGGTACTTACCTCCAAGCATCCCAGCTGTTGTAGGATGTTTGTTCATTCTGCATGGTATGGATGCACACAGTACTTGCAGGGCACTGTTGACTTGTGATCTGTGATGATGACCTGATCCTTTTCTGTTAACTTGCTGCTTTACCATCTCCTTCTCATCCTGTATTTTTCCACTCTCCTTTTGAATTGCATCCAATTTGTTTTCAGCTTGACGTTAGTTTTTTTTTCCTTGTTTTGCTTTCTTCTCATCTAAAAATATAAGCTATATAGGCAGAAAATATATGGTTATATACTTCATGTAAGGAAAGAATAACACTTTGCGTGTCACTCTTACCTTTCAACAGATCTAGATAACTGCCTGTCTTCTCTGAGGCTGAATGAAATTGCTGTTAGCCACTTGGAATATTCCATCAGAATGGTGCCAATTTCCTTCTGCAGCCTCTCAGAAGAGCTATGTTGTAATATTGAGCAATTAAGTTGCACTTCTATTGCCGTTTTAGTCAAGGGTACCATAACCTTCCTTTAAACTGGAAATCCACAAGGAAAGGTTATACCTGCATCCTGGTTCTGGCAGGGTCGCAGCCAGAGTGCTACTCTGGGACCGGCACTGTCCCACAGGGCATGTGCCATAAATACTGCTCTAGAGGGGGAGATAAGCAGAGGGCTGCTCAGCATAGATGGGTCAACCTGGTGCTGTGTATCACATCACAGGGAGAAGTACTGGCTTTGTGGACTCCTGGGTCTGTGCTTGAGTTTCTGTGGTAGGAATTGCCTGTATCACTATGGAGGTGAGCTTAGCATCAGACATGTCTTCCCAGTGGTGCGGTTCTTTAGAGCACGTACCATACTTTAGAGCACATACCACCCGCTCCTCTCCCTTGGCATATGCTCTTTAGGTTTTATTGAGTATTTGATGTGCACTGATGCCATGATTTGGGTTACCACAGCCCACAATAAGCTGTTTGCTGCATAACCCTGAAGGGGCAGAGAAGGGCAGGGGCTGTGAGCTCCATGGCCCGTGTGCTGGTGTCCAGCCTGGGCAGTGTACAGGGTTTGCTGAGGGACTGCAGTTCCCTTGCTAGCAAGGTGAGGGAGGGCAGACAAGATGCTGAGGGGGTTCAGAGATGAAACTGTGACTGGGGCCTCACTGTCCTGGGGAGGTCACTAAGGCAGGTACGGATGTCTCCTGCAGGAGGGGACGGCAGCAGAAGCACATGAAGATATGGGCACTGTGCAAGGAGCTAGGTATCTTTGGTGACTCTTCTTCAGTGTCTCCAGGCATTTAGCGGAGGGGACCAAATCCCTGGTGTCTCCTATATCATCAATGGAACAAGACAAGCAGAGTCTCTTGTACAACAGTCCAGGCTGATCACATTTGCTTTCGAGGCCAGCATGCTTAGCTCAGTCTTGGACAGGGGGAGAGACATGGTGGACAGAGAGGTGGCAGATCCTGTGCTCCTGCTCCCACTGTTTTAGAGTTAGATTAGATATTAGGAAGGAAGAAATCCTTTGCTGTGATGGTGGTGAGGCACTGGAACAGGTTACCCAAAGAAGTAGTGGATGCCCCATCCCTAGAAGTGTTCAAGGCTGGGGTGGATGGGGCTCTGAGCAACCTGGTCTAGGGAAAGGTGTCCCTGATCATGGCAGGAGGGTTGGAACTGGGTGATCTTTGAAGTCCCTTCCAACCCAGGCCACTTTATGAAACACTGCTTAACTCCTGCCTCAGTTTCTTGAGCACATGCATTTCCCAGGGGTGTGGTGAGACTTAACTGTTATAACGATTAAAACAGATACAGAAACAGCAAGGGCTAGAGTGATGTGTCTGTTCAGCAGAATGTGGGGTCTGGCAGGAGGCACAGAAAAGGCAGTTTTAATTATAAATGAATTTATAATGCAATTTGCACTTAATACATCTGGCACAATATTTTTCCGTGGGAACTTCCAGGATGCTGGGCTGAACAAATTGAGTGCAGCTTTCACTAAGTTGTACTAAGTTGCTCTAAACAATTGCATTTGTAATTCAGCAAATTCCTGACCTTTGCTTGGTGAATAAATTTGGACAGTAAGATGAATGCACATGCACAAAGATGCTTTTTGCTTGACATTTAAATCCCATTAATGAGCATGAGTAAAAGAATAAAATTCTAAAAAAATGCAGGTTATTTCAATAATTGGAACAGTAATGATTCAAATGTAATTTTATATTTACCAGTTAATCACTCTTGAAGTTTTCTAAAGGAAGCTGCAGAGCCAGAGACCAAATTAAAAGTAGTAGGTTGGCTTTCTGTAAGGGACACTGCCTGGAAATAACCTGAGAAGAGTTTAAAGTCAGCCCATGAATTCAGGTTCCTGGCCTCCCCAGTGTGCCATTGAATTCCAGATAAAAAGATCAATAAAGTCTAGTTCCTTGTCTCTGAATTCAAATCCAATTCTGGTTGTGGTTGCTAGTGATGGCTTTTTTGGGGGTTTGGTTGTGCTGTCGACAATGTGCCTGGTCAAACAGCATATCTTAGGATCATGCATCATTTCAGAGGTCATTCAATTGAGGTCAGGGACTCTTTGCAGATTGTTTTACCAGCTATCGACCTGCAGAGAAGTACTTTGTGTTTGTTGATTGTATTCTTTCTGTCCTTTTTTTTTTTGATGGATGGAAGGTGAAAAAGATGTATATTTTCATCTTCTATCTTTGACCCCTCCCCAAAAGTTAAGCTGTAACAGAGGGTATCAGAGAAAGATTTTATCCAGATCATCTCTCTAGAGATGGTATAACTCCAGCAGGATATAGTCATTTTTTGTTGTTGGAAATATTGACAGTTTTAAGAGGGAATGAGGTGTTTCTCACACTGCTGTAAAAAGCTAATGTGGTTAATTATAGGAAGGAAGTAAACAAAAAATGAGGAAGCAACCTCCCC